TCTCATTGGCCCATTCCTTTCTCCGCGGCCCGTTCCTCGCGTTGGTGAGAACTCACCTTAACGCGCCTAGTAACTTAGGGAAAGAAATTCCCAAAGATTATTTCTACGAGGTTATTTCAATAAAATTTAAATGCAACTAGCCTTTTAAACAATCCTACCAACATAACAATTAAACTTTACTCTATAAGAAACATCAAAAATACATATATATGGAGGGTATGGAGGGTAGAGGTAAGAGTAACATCTCTGTATATGAAAAGTGTCCGTCGAAATGCATCCAATTCAGGTGGCGCCATAGTTCGTAGACGGTAAATTTTAAAGGAAGCGCCAAATATTATTAGAATAGGATTGAGAAATAAACAAGAAATACAAATTTCACAACACAAATTTTACCCATAACTGTTTTGTTATTCACATACTTTTTCATAAAATTAAATGATAAAAAATCAATAAACGTACTATTTACAGTTCACGAAATAAAATCACTCTAGCTACACGTTTTCTCATAATAATTCTTTAAGGTTATATTTATTACATTATACCATAACTCGGTATACTTCAATTCGTTTACAATTGCTACATTCATACCATACCTTCTGTCTACACCAGCGCCATTCTGGAAGGTTTTTGAACTATTATTTATAGAAAACGCTGGACACTTTTTTCACATTTTCTCCCATAAGAGATGTTACTCGTTACCTCTACCCACCATATAATATGTATATGTATGTGTAATACTATATGTATTGCCAATCTCTTATGGTAATAATAATAATAATAATAATAATTTTCTTATAAATACAAATTTTAATTTAAATTATTATTGCAAATTGAATATATGTAGAATGATCATACATTTTTGTCAAATTGTTTCACAAATTTCATAAAATAATTTATGCAGTTTATTTATGACGTATACAAAATGAACTTCATTAAAGTTATAATAAAAAAGGAAAGTATTATAAAGAATAATTTTAATATTATTAGCATTAAATATTTATGTTAAAATTAATATTAAATATTGAATTCAATATAAATTTACTAACACAATCTTTTGTAAAATGTAATTGACAAATTCATTAAAATATGTATTGAATATGTTTACATAATAATAACGGTACATGTATTATGTTAAAACAAATGTGTATTTTGAAAATATTCATATACATATAATATTAGATACCATAAGACAATAACATAATTATGACATATATTAGGAACGGCCGCAGATTTGAAAATGATTCAAAAACTTGATATCAATAAATTGATTTTATATTTCTAAATTACATTGCTAATATGCTCAATGATCTCTTAATATTGGATGTGTCAGGCAATGACACAGCCCACTTTTTTAATCCTATCAATAAAACAGAACTTGTTACCAAGATTGCCCCACCTACCGAATATTTATTAGGTATTTCGTTGAAAAAGAGTACTTGCCAAAAAAATGCGAAAACTATATCTGTCGATCTTGCTATAGCGACAGGACCAGCCTGTTCTATTTGTAATGCTAAAGTGAGTAAAATTTGACCTCCAAAACTGAACAATGCTAGAGCAACAACCAACAATCTGTCGGCTCCGCAACGAGGTAAACACAAAGCACCGATTGCCCAAGAAATAATAACTGTTTGTACTAGAGCAAGCGATCCAAAATTTGTCATAATAACAGAAAAATGAAGACCTTTTAATGCACGCAATAAGACGTAAACATTAGCACCAAATAAAGTTGCAGAAAACGCTGCTATTGCACCCCATAAATCTGCATGTTCCGATGTATTATTACCATCTGATAAAGATTCTATGGTATTTCCAAATATTAATGGTGGACGAGTTATTAAAACAACCCCAATTAATGTTAAACATACGGTCAATATGTTAAATAATCCAAAAGGTTCTTTCAAAAATATTTTCGCAAATATTGCTACAAATACAGGCACGGAAAATACTACAATGGAAGCATCCGCTAAGGGCATATGTCTAAAAGCATAAAAACTAAGCATGAGAGCAGTTGTACCTACAAAACTTCGCAATATTAACATTATCCTACGTCCTTTGGGAAACGGATGTTCACCTTTGTAAATTAAAATTGGTATTGCTGGTAATAATACCCCAACGAATCTAAATGCTGCCAATTCCATTGGATTAACTTCTACTAATCCTTTAACAATAACGCTACATAGTGAAAAAAATAAAGATGAAAGTGTTGCTAGTACTAAACCAAGATATGGACATGATTTACAAATTGGGGATGAAATTGGCTTTTGATGGAAGGCTGTATTACTTTCCACATCTTCGTCAACTAAATGTTGTAACTCGACGTGCTTTGACATATCTAGAAGAACAACAAATCTTTTATAAACATTTTTCATTTAATATTATCATCTAGAAAATAATCATCTATATATGTAATTATTATAAATACCTTTAGAAATGTGCCTTGATACAAACTTGTTAAATCTTAACTTTCATTGAGTTTCATATATAATATATTATATATTTATAATAAATATTTATTAATAGAGACTGTAAAGGAATAAGGATTTATTAAATGGAGTGATGATTATTGTCATTTCCTAAAATAAACTTATTTTCTAATATAGAAAATATTAATCATATATATATATATATATATATTACTGTTACTATCAATTAATACTTATGATAAAGTAAACTCACTTAATCATCCCATTTATCATTGTCGCAGAGAATATAAACTTCTATGATGATTATTAATCGTGACTAGATTATAAGACTAGATTGTGGAATAAGTAAAAAGAAGACTAAATCATGAAATAATTTCAGTAAAATATGTCTTCTTTACAGTTTGATAATTATCATTCAGAAATCACCGTAGTACCAAGATAATATTAATGATCAATTCATAATATCATGCCAATGAATTGTGTCATCTTGGTAAAAGGTTATTCTTCTGTGACTTCAATTAGACTTTTTGTTAAATTACATTTTCTTAACTTTTTATTTATTTATTTGTTTGTTTGTTAATTTGACTGATATCATTACTTTCAGATTCTTTTTTCACATATTAACACAGATAAACAAAATCATAAAGAATTTATTAATCAATGTTTAACTTTCGTAGAGCTGATCATACTTGAAAGCATTCCGAAGTTATTTCCAAAGTATTTGTGACGCAAATATCGTATACTTTTACACATGCGCAGACAGACCAATTGAATTTGGAATGATTATTCTTATTCTTCTTATTATTATTATTATCGGTTTTTACTGTTCGTCTTTTCTGATTTATAAATAAATGTATATATTTGTATAATAAAAAGATAAGAGATAAAGAGATGAAAGTTGATTTTACAAAATTAATCAATCGGTGACACGAAACCCTAAAGGTCTTCATTTGATTAAATTACATAATGAATATCAAAATTATTCGATCAAGATTCAGCTAAAGTATTTTATTATTTACCTTGAAAAAAAAAAAAAAAGAATTTTGTGTATATTTCAAAAATTAACTTGTTATTAAATATTTATGTGAATGGCGCATTGAGAATTACAATAAATTGCTATGATGCACTTATCAAAATGAGATGAAATAAGAAATCTTTATTAATTTAAATGATCTTAAATTGATTAATATACTATTATGAAGATATTATCTTAATTTATGAGTATGTAATGTCTTCATCTTATCAGAAGCAATAGATAACAATCAAATAACGCTCTATTAAATGTAAGAACGTTGATCAAATGTATTCATACACCATTTCAATAGCTCTCAACAGGCAATATGTGCATTTTATTTATTTATCGAAATCCTAATGCCGATGCTGAATCTTATCGGCTAATCGTTGCTACTAATCGTGATGAATATTTTAAGCGTCCAGCTTTACCTGCACATTATTGGGAAAAATATCCTATGTGTTTAGGAGGTATACTTCAATTACATACTTTTTTCTTTTATATATATATATATATATATATTTATAATGTCTCTAATAATTTTTATCTCATTTTATTCTTGTTTTTTACTGCTATTAGGTATCGACATGGAACCCGGTAAAGAAGGTGGTACTTGGTTCGCATTATCAAAAAAAGGAAAAGCTGGTATTATTTTAAATCTAAGTAACGAACTAGATAAAACTCATACTCCAAAAAAGGGTCGTGGAACTTTAGTTAATGACTATATTACTTCTAATGATACTGCAGAATGTTATCTAGAAAAATTGCATCGAGAAAATCAAAATACTCAAAGCTACAATCCTTTTAATTTAATTCTAATTAATATGTAGTATGTATCCATTATTTATCTATTAAGATTGTGAACTGATTTATTAAGATATGATGGATGATAAGACTGATTATTTGTTACCATAACTTTGTTTTCTCGTTTTCATTTAGTACTGCTGATGTGTATTACTTGAATAGTTCCTTAAGTTCTTTGGGACCAAAAATGTGTCAAGATGATGTAATAGGTATTGGGAATAGTTTCATGGAATGTCCTTATAAAAAAGTTCAAGTAGGAAAAGAAAAATTTGCGAAAATTGTCAGTAATGTTAAAATTTCACAGCAAGATGATATTATAGAAAATCTTGTAGAACTTTTGAAATTACAAGAAAGGTATGTAATATAATATACTTACTTAATATGTATATTAATATTAAAACTATTATATTATTATTTATCATTTATAGACATTTACCAGATCTCGAATTACAAAAAAGATCACCAACTAATTGTGTTGAGCTAAGTTCTATTTTTGTTTCTCTTGATAACTATGGTACAAGAACGCATACTATATTAATGATTAATGGTTTAAATCAATTAACTTTTGTGGAAGAAACTCTTATGCCAGATTTATCGTGGAAGCGACAATTATTTAGCGATACTTTAACTGGTAATTAGAAAAACTGATTTTGATAATTGGTTGCATGTTTATATAGTATATAACACTTATATTTGTTCATCTGGAAAATAAATATGTAGATTAATAAATGAGATGATTAATAAGTTTTTAGCACATTTAGACAGATACACACATTTACATCAATTTATTTGTAATAGTGAAGAAATACTCACCATCATCATCGTCATTATCATCATTATCATCATTATCATCATCATCACCATCACCATCATCATCACAATCTTCCATATTTTCTATAGACTTCTCCTCATTACTTGAATCACTTTCTAGTACCTCTGACGATATATTTGACGTTTCATTCGTAATCGAATCAACGCTTGGTAACGTTGTTTCTTCGGACGATGTTGCCTACAAATAAAATATATTAATTTCTTTTTGATATGTTTGCATTTTGAAGATATTAAGTTGCAATCATTTTTATTTACAATTATTTGTATTTAATTACAACACACAATTGTTAAAATACCTGAGAAAGTATTTCTTGACCTTCTAAATTTTTATTTAAAAGATTTCCCATCCAAAATGCTGTAGAACTATTGTTGAGTACAAACATCCCTTTCACACTGTAGACTAATCTTTCAAGCACAGATTTTGCTGCGGGTATATGTTTGGATAATATCGTGTCTTTTTTTTCCATCCCATCGCAACATACTGCATGCAAATATTTTGTACCAACTATAATGCAGTAGAGAATATAATTAATTAAATATTGAAATGTTTACATTTTTCTCCTAATGTATTATAATATACTTTAACTTTTAGTATACACTACAGTTAACAAAGATTATGCATCATATGTATATACCTTGCATCAATTTTACTGATTTAGTTATATCATCTGATTGGTATTTTAAATTATGTTCCAAAATTGGTATGCCAGAATTTAAGAACAATCGTAAAAGGAGAGGCATGCATCGTAAGAAGATAAGTATATTAGTTTTTGTCTTCAATGTTTTACATATTTGTACCATTTTTTGAACATTCGTTCCAACATCTAGCCATATTTGTATCCTTTCAGGATCTCTAAAGGAAAAAACTGAATCTTTAATAAGCTATCAAAAATTATTGAATCAATATGTGTGTATAGATTTTTTCATTTTACCTAGTAGCTTTCGATAAAGATATTTTCACACCTTTAATCATACCATCGAATATCTTTTTATACAGTAAGTGAAAATTATTTCTACTTATTGATGGCAATCTATTCAAGTAATCGTTTGATTTTTCCAATTTTGTAACTTCATTTGGTAACCATTCCAATAACATAGTTATCGTATTGAGCGGTGATAATTCATAATCAATCCAACTTTTTATTAATGTAGTAACAGCAGCTTTATACGAAGGACCAGCATGTTTATCTTTAGGCCAGTCCAAAGATAAAAATCCAAATGCCATTTTTGCTAACATGTAAAATTATAAATTATATAAATAGGGTTTTACTAATTTCATGATTAGAAATATATCTATTTTATTATTCATTATTATATATGTTTTACCATTTCTATCTTTATGTTCCAGCATATAACTTTCTGAATGTTTCATTACTGATTGATTAGTTGTAATAAGAGCAACACTGATTGATATTCTTGTGGCTATATCAGATAAAGATTCAATATATTTGCATGATTCAGTAACAAGTTCTTTGCAAGATTTAAGCGATAAATTCGTATCATTTTGTTGACACGCTAATATTTTTAATCCCTCTGAAATACATGAAAACGATTAACTATTGTCACAAATAAAATGTATTCTTATACGAGGAATATAAAAACAATATGTACTGTACCACGAAGTAATGGATTATAAATAGCACTATGAAATTCTTTCCAATTGAAAACTTTTGCTAGAAGACATAATATCAATCTTGCTGCTTCTCTTTTATCATCAACGTCTTCTTCTCTGAGTTCTTCTACAATCTCATGTAACTTTTCGCATATTTTTGGCAATAAATTTATAATATCCTTCACAAATGCTTCATTAAGATCATTTTCAAACATTCCCAGAACTTCTTTAACAATAAAACATATTTGAGATATTGAAATGCTTTCTATTGTTGGCGATGCATGTAAATTTAATTTAAAATCTAGTAAATGTATTATCTAAAAAGAAAAGAGATACAAGGCATTAGAAAAATAATAACTTCCTTTGTAACAACATAATAAAGAAAGATAAACATATGAGAAAATACTTTGGCATCGAGTTTTCTAAAATATGCTGGATTTTTAAAGCACAATGTAGAACCCATTTCCCAACTTCCTTGTTCACCACATGTATTTAGAGTTTTCTCTAATGATTTTTTTTTTCCTTTCTTTTTTATAGTTTTTTCAACTTTTACAAAAGGTGGTGGTGGAAAATAATGAAAATAACATGGCGGTGGTTGATATTTTGGATCACATAGGGATAACATTGGACTTAATTCTCCTTGCAAAGACATTAAATCATTTAACCGCGTTAATACTTGTTTTTTTAATAAAGGTTGCGATTGCGTTACAAAGCCACTTATAATTTCTCGAAACCTGTAAACAACATATCAAAATGTTAATTAATCATTAAATAATATTTATTATTAATTTGTAATATCTACTCACCAATTAATACAAGATATTACAAGATCTATCGTTAAAGGCTCTGGCATATCAAAATTATCTGGCATTAGAATGGAACATCCTAATAAAGAATCTATTGCTTCCAAGTCCCCATTTTCACTGAGCTTCATGTAACAGGTTTTTAATAATCTAAACGTAATAGCGACAATAGCTCCGCACTTTTTATTACCAAAATTTAATACTAAATTCTGTGGCTCGTCATCTAGATTATTCAAACCAAATTTAGGTATAAGCTCACCGCTAAAAATAATGTCAATACATTAAATAAAAAAGATCAGAATTAATTAACATACGTTTATTAATAAATTTAACTTACTTATAATCTGATTTATTAATCATATATGTACTGACTAATTCTTCTTGTAGATAAGCAGCCACGTTTTGAAGAAATTCTTCATTAATAGATTCGGTTTGTGAAATAACTTGTGCCAGTTGATCATAAAATAATGCTTGCAAACGTGGATATGATTTTACTGCATGTAAAACTTTTTCTATGGTAAAAAGGTATTTAAGTAAAAAATATTAAAGGAAGAGAAGAAAAACAAAATATATATAAAGTATATTAATTTCATACTGAATAAATTGCGGGCAGACGTATGACTGTCTGGTTTGCACGCCATATGTTTTATTGCCATTACAGCTGCAAGAACTCCTTTGCATTTTATTCTAACAAAAAAAAAAAAGAAAAAGAGAAATACAATTATATTTATGCAAAGTTGTCATAATTATCAGAGTAATAATACTAACTGTGGTTTAATGGCAGAAAGTTGCTTTTGTAATACTATAAATAAATCATCACGTAAAGTATCTGCCAGCGTACTTGAACATAAACTGTGTAATAAATCATTTAACGTGCCAACTTCTTCTATACCAAAATGATCTATTTTTTCTAATAGAATTCTCAAATGATTGCAATGTTTATACAAATATTCTTTTTCTTCTTTTCCCTCTGCCATTTTACACAATACTTTAAGGGCATTCCTCACAGTTTGATCATTATTACCCATGAGCAAAATAAGTTTTTCTATTATTTTACGTTGCTTATGAATGGCATCTTTTTGACTGAGAAACTGTAATCTCAACCATTCAATAGCAAAATCAACATAAATTCTTTCCTCTGCTTTTAACAAATTGCTTGCTAATTGTAATGCGGATGATTGTAAATCTCGTACAACCTTCAAATTAAATAATTTGTACAAAAAAGACTATAGAAAATGAAATGAATTTATAATTGAATATTTTGTAGTTATTGACCATAATATCATCTACAACTGATAGTTAATTTTTATAAAAAATAAAAAGAAAATAAAGAGAAAATAAAGAAAAAATAAAGAGTCACTATTAAAATAAACGGCTCAATTAAATACAATTGCATACCTCTTTATAATTATTATATAAGAGTTGAAGTAAACTTAATCTGTAAAATCCAGACCGCACGTGTTGTTTTAAAATAGTATCAACATTTTTTCTTCTGGATGATCCAGTAGACGATATAAGAAGTAGTAATATTATATCCATTGGTTTTGGATCTTTAGTAACTTTTTTGATAATTGTCAACGCCGCAGATACCATGTCCTTTGATAGTAGAATATTCATTTTAATATTTTGGAACAATATCGTTTGACTTTTATAACAATCTTCCAATTGTTCACCGTGAAGAGGCTGCATATCGAGATTGCGTAATACGCATAATACTTTCTTATATGCCTCCACCGTTGTACAATCGCTGAGAATAAATCTGTGCAATAAACATTAATACATTCATCGATATATTCATGTTTTTACAAATTTATGTTGATTTACAAATTGTATAGCTTAAAAATATTGTATACTTGGCGATGGAAGGTATTAAATTCGTTTTTAAATGTTTATTCAACATTTCTAGTACTTTATCCTTATAATCATTCAAATATTCTGTTCCAAGTGTTAAATTATTAATACAGTCTAATACTGTATCTATCAGTTCAGTATTATCATCCATTAATTTATTAAGAATGTCAGCAATAGTTTGATGTTGTACTTCTATTATTATATCAGGTATATATGGAATCAATTCTCGTTGAAACCAAAATGGACAAGTCTCTAGAAGCTGTTCGAAGCATTTAGTTAATTCATTCGGATCGACAATAGTTTCTAAAAAACGAAATTTTTGCAATAATTGTCGAGCCCAAGGTATTTTTTCTATAGATTCGCTGTAAAATAATAATAATAATAATAATAATAATAATAATAATAATAATAATAATAATAATAATATAATTTATTTTATTTTATTATATTCTTTTCTAAAATATTTGAAACTCTTTTCATAAAATAATATTACTTACGCTAATAAAACAGATTCGTTCAGTTTATTTAGAAAGAATACATGTATATCAGGTTGTAATTCTTGTACTTGTAATAAAATTCTTATAATACATGTATTACTTATATGATCGAAGCTTCGATAATCAGAAGATACTTCATAATCGGATAAAATACTTTGTAAATTTTGTTGTTTTTCGATAAATTCTTCTAATGAATTTATAATTTCTTGCTTTTGATATTCTTTACTTTTTAACTTTTCTTTCATATTTTGTTTTATTATTGTAACTTCTTGATCTAAGAAAATATAAGATTTATATATATTTTAATATAATATTTATTATATATCATGTGATAAAAAAGAAAAAATAGAAGAAAAAAAACTTACCGAATTTATGCCTGCCATCGGAAAGTAATTTAATACCACATTTTTTAAGAAAATCAATGAATAGTTTTGCTTTTTTGGTAATTTCTATTTTATTAATATCTTCTTCTATATTTCTTTGTTCTGGTATGACAATATTGTTGTTACTTTGTTCTAAAATATTAGACGTTTGATTTGCTTTCAGAGGAGTTTTCCTAACGCTTGATTTTGATCTTGTTTCATTTTTATTAGAATGTTCATTGTATTGAGAAAAAAATTTCTTTGATGTCGTATCAGTTATATCTGAATGTTTTTCATGTTGAGTAAGCTTTCTTTTCTTTGATCTTGTATCAGTTACATTTGAACATTTTTCATGTTGAGTAAGCATACTTTTCTGTGATATTGTATCAGCTATATTTAAATGTTTATCATATTTAGGAGGCTTACTTATTTCTTGTTCCAGATTTACATCACTTTTTCTTTTTTTTGCTATTGTTTCATTTTGAGATAAAGAAGAAACATTTGAATCACTCTTGGTTCTGCTTTTTGATATATCTAAAACAGGTAGCTTACGTTTTCGTGATGCTAATTCATTACTCGTTTGATCATCCTCAATAGTATAATTACTTGTTGATGCTTGACTTAATATTGCACTTACATTTTTATGTAAAATTCCTTTCGATCGAATCTTTCTTTTATCCATTACGATTAGGTTATTATTTGTTTCTATTTATTATATTTTTTTTCTCAATATTATTAACACCTCATTGTAGATTATAAATGCTTAATTAAAGAAAAAATCTTTATAGAAACAAAAAACTAAAAAATCTGTTTAATTTAATACTTTTTTTATTGTTAATGTCACATTAATTGACGTGTTTATTTTGAATAAATTTTGGCGGCAACATTTAAGGTACGATTTTATGCATAAGTAAATAATAACTTTTATAGTTATGATAAAATTGATTAGATGGCGCGTTGTCGCGACAGTGCTGCCATGAAATAGTAATTTAAAAAAATAACTAAAGATAGAAATTTTTTCCAACCTCTCATTTACGTATACGCAATTATATCAAAAATAAGAATCTACAACAATAATGTTAATTGTATAATGAAAAAAAAAACTTATGTTGTTATAAATTCATTCCTGTAGATGTATAATTGTGAGGTTATTTATTTTTGACCGTCTGTTTCTTTTTATTTTAAATATTATATAGAAGATTATAAATTATAAAAACAAATAGAAAGTATAACTACATATAAATAATAATTTAAAAATTGTTCAAGTTTCATTTAATTAGTGATAACAACACACAACAGCAGCATGCATTGTTCACATGTGGGTAACCACATATATAAATATCGGTTGTGCCATTTGCATACATATTGTTTATATTTGCAGTGTTATCTCAAATACATTATATCAGTTTGACGTAAGATTCATACATAATATCAGTTTCACATAAAATTTACTTGGCCTATTTTGTGTTCTCAGGCATCTTCAATAATAATTCATTTGTATTAAAAAAAAATTATTTAAATAAATAAATCAAGTGCATACAACGACAAAATGAGTGAAATTGGAGAAATAGTTGATTTTAAATCGCTTGGTAATTAAGTGACACTGATATTTTTTTAATAATATTGTTCTTACCACAGTAGTTCATTAAGAAATAATTGTACATGTTAAAACCCATTGATTTTGATTATCCTTATATTATTTGTCTCTTTTGATGTTTATACACATGCATGCAATAAAAATCTATTATTTTTTACGTATTATTAATGTCAGTAAATTTACATTTATTTAATACTTTGTATGGTAATTTATCTAATATTTAAATGTTACCATTAACATATGTTCAAATCTATTTGTTTAAATATAATTACAAACGAACTTAAATCATATCGTAAGATCAAAAAAAGAAAAAAGAGATTTATGGCGTTTTGTAAGATAGTCGAAAGAATAATAAATTATAAATTATTTTCTATTACAAATGTTAGAACAGTTTCATTTTTCCAAGAGCCTTTTTTTAAATGTCATATTTTGTTGATTAGATAACGATTTTGTCTGTGTTGATTAATTTAAAAAAAAAAAAACAAATCTCTATTCAATAATAATGTTTTTTCATTATATGTAATTTTTTAATTGTTTTATCAACGAATGACCTTGCACAATTAATCTAAAATAAACATGTACAATATTTAATTTATTATTCTTACGTAGATTTTATATCGCAATTTAATACAATCGTTAACTATATGTATATTAACATTTTCTGGTAAAATACATTTAAATCTTTTTATTATATAAATAATTATATAAATAAAATCTATAATATTATTTAATTTATTGCAAGAAATTTTGTGAAATCTTATCGAAAAAAAAAAACGAAAAAAAAGAGAGAAGAAGATTAAGGGCAAATGTGATTACATAACTGTTACAATTATTAAATCAATTAGTCAAATTTTTCTATATAAAATAAATTTCTATGATACGAGTGCATAATAATATAATATGCATTATCATCGTAATAAAAATATTAACAATTTTTTAAATAATTTATTTACACTGAAGATATTAAATGTACATTTTTATTCTTATTTTTTTTATAAACTTTTATATGCATGTATATATTATTGACAATTAATTTCAATAAAAAACAGGAATTCTTTTTACGATCTTCGTCAGCTAAGAAATCTTATTTTGTTCTTTATATATATTTATATAAGATATCTCTTTCTCGCAAACGCAAATACATTTATTTTAGCAGTATTGGATGTTTTCTCCTTCTCTTCTTATTATGTATGTACAAATTTATTTCAGTGTTACATATACAATGGTGTCTTATTTCCAATCGTTTGATTATAAATCTTTAATAAAGTATAACTTAAATATATATAATATTATATTCAAAAAATAAATTAAAATTCTACTAGATAAAAAAGTTAAAACTTTAAAAACTGAAAAATTGTCTTTTTATTATTATTATTATTATTATTGTTATTGTTATTATTATTATTATTATCATTATTCTGTTTTATTTTTATAGATTCAGACATTCAAGAGTTAATAAAAGAATGTGCATTAGTAAGGGAACATGCGTATGCACCCTACAGCAAATTTAAAGTGGGTTCTGCAATACTTTGTACCGATGGAACAATCTTTAAAGGTTGTAACGTAGAAAATATATCATATCCTGTTGGAATATGTGCTGAAAGAGCAGCTATTGCAAAAGCAGTATCAGAAGGGAATAAAAAGTTTAAAGTATTAGCAGTAATGGCGGATAAATTAGAAGATAAATTACCCACACCTTGTGGTATGTGTCGACAAGCTATCATTGAGTTTGGAAATATACCTATTTATTGTGCAGGATCGGATATGAAAGATGTATTACGGACTACAATAAATGAATTACTTCCTTTTGCATTCAGTCAAATAGATATGAAAAATTAAATATTTTATATTATCTTATAACATAGTTCAGCGATATATAATTAAGATTGAAATACAAACATAAAAATGAGGTCCTATAATAACTAATGAAATTATATACAAATATTATTTGCAATACGTCGTGAATAGCCTGAATATATATTTTTACATACAAAATGAATGCAATGTAAATTGTTTTTGTAAAACAGTGAAGCCAATGCTTCATTTGTTTATTACACAAACAGTCTATACTGCATTTGCTTTAATATTAATCTTCTTTTTTAAATAGTTTTGTTTTATGCTTATTGAAACAAAATATTAATGGTATATCATCCATTTTCCAAGAAATATTTATCATTTTTCCTTTTTTTTCGATTATATATTAAATTAAAGCAATTATTACATCTACTTTGTTATCACTCACATTGCACGTGCAGAAAAAGCACTAAGGGCTACAATAGTCACTTCGTATTTTGTTATTGTAATATATAATTTACCAAAATGGACACCTGAAAGAAAAAGAGAAAACAACAAATAATATACATATTTTTCAATTTTATAATGTTTGTATGAAATAATATTATTATATGAAATATTGTTAATATCATTTAATACTAATTATGGGTGATGTAACTATTATATAAATATATCATCAATTATCAAATAATTTATACTATATATATATATATATATATATATACATGTAGATAAAAATATATATGTTTTATATATTAAATCATTTTTTATATTAATAATTTTATTTTATTTTCATATAATATTATTTTATTTTATAACATAATTTTATTTTCAGTTTGAAATCGGACGTTTCATATTTAATGATCTAACATATATTACTTGTAAATAAAATATTTTTCTTTTCATATTTAAGTGATATTTAATACTCACCATCCAATGTAACACTGGCAAAGATTTTCATTATTTGTTGCCTGCTGAATTAGTAAATCCACTTGTCGTTGAACGCTCAGTGATTCTTCGTGTGAAAAATCACGTCCAGTTAATTTATCTCTCACTCTTGTTATAATAGCTAAAGCCTTTTTGTTCAATGCTTCTGGTTGATTATTATCACCTGTAAAAAATACATTTACACAAAAATGAAAAAGCTTAATTCAATTAATTTAGTAACTAAACTATAAATTACAGTTACCTCCGTTTTCAACACTACATGGCACACCCTTCTTTGGTAAAGTAGCTGTAAGAGAGTCTAAGACATCTCCGTGTTCCTGGCTACTGCTAGAACTCATTCCTTGTGCATCTGATCTTTTGCCCTTTAGTGTCGTATTATCCATTAATCTCCAATTTAAAAGGGGATCATAAACAAAAGCTTCTAACACAGCCATTAAACTATCTTTGTTACGATGTAGGACAGACATTACTGATTCACAAGTTCTTCTGTATGTGCCTTCAATTCCTGTTACCTCCATAGCATTTATTAACATTCGCGTCAAGCGAAATGGTATCTTTTCAGGGAATTTTTCACGTGTCATTGCTACTTCAAAACAATCTCCAAAATCAATATGAAGAATTTTGCCGCTTAAGCGATCCAACATTAAATTAGATGGATGACGATCTCCAAGACCAAGTATGTAACCAACCATAGACATAACAGCGAGAGAACGTGTATAGTTTGTTCTACGATCAAACCACACTTCGCTCGATGGTGACTTCAACCATAAAAGCCGTGATAAATCATCGCCATGAGTATGTTCTAAGGCATGCTCAAAAACTTCAACCTTCTGCATAAGCATAAGATGTTCATAGTCTGGTGCCATCTATAACAAGTGTATATTTTATTAAATACAAATAATGTCAAAACAACAAATATAAATACGAGTATACATAAATTATCTTAAATTGATATTATAATTGAACTCACTCTTAGCATTATCCTATGCTCTATATTAAGTAGTATTTTCTTTTTTTCTCTATAATCTCTGATTAAAGTATGTAACGTATCACAGTGTGGAACCCAACCAATAAGACCGCTATTTGTTGATAATGGAATTACTGCATATCTCTACAAAAATATACAGATAAATAGTATAGATAGATTGATAATATAATTAGTATGCATATTTTATTTAATAGCATACCTGAATAGTAAGATTTCTTCTAAAAGTATCTGGATCATGTAATAGAAGTGTATTTACTAAACCAAATAGCTGCATTACCCGTTCATCTTGTCTGAGATCTTCGTGTCCTTTTAGTAAAAACATATAATCTTTACCATTACTACCTAAAAGAGTTTTAAACAGACAGATAACGCATTAGTATAATTATTTTTGTAGAATATCTTAACTGATATATCTGTGTAATAACAGTATAGATAAAAAATATTTCACCTTTAATACATAACTTTCTTGGTCGTTGTTTGCTTGTTATCACTTGCATCGAGCTATGAATACTTGCTATCCTGACTATAGGTTGACCTGGACTGTAACTCCCAGGTACAGCTAATTCTAAATCTCTACAAAGAAGGAGTTTTGGGCTTACATATTGAAGTTCTAAACTAGTCAACTGTGGCAATTGTCTTGATATTCTTCTAAATACATGATAATACACATCCCATGCTTGGTTTAAATCTTTAACATTTCTTGAAGCTTTATATCTATGGCACCACTCTTGTGCTTCCATTAAATCTTTTCCATAAGCTTGATTAAAAGATGTTTCTTTTAAAGTTTGTGGACCTCTTTCTAACATCGCATGTAATGGTTCCAATGTATCAAACATCCCCTTGACATTCTTTTCTCCAAAATATAATCTGCTAGCTTCTTCTAATCCTTCGTGCCATAATTCATGCCATAAGATTGCAACTCTAATTAATTCATCGCTCGCCATTATAGCTTGTTGAACCAAAGTAGGACTGTGTTCACACATACTTTTTAGTATTTTATTTGCTGCTGTTTTTCTAGCATGACTCGCACTTTTCGAAGCTACTGTTAATGGATATACCAATGCTTGTGGATGCGTTTTTCCAATATCAATAAGAAGATGATGAATGCATCGTCCAACTAAAGTTCTAGGCGTATCTATTCTTGCTATTAGTTGTGGTATTACTTGTAGCCACGTATTAATTTCGATTAATCTGATACCTACCACAATAGCTTCGTACACTTCAGGCCATTGACCATAATCAAACCATAGTGTAAGTAACCGAAGTGTATCTTGTAAAGAGTTGCCATGTGAAAGATTAATTGATCTGAAAAATCCTTCCACAGCTGGAACAGTAAATTGTGATACATATTGAGGGCTAGAAAGATTATTACGTGTTCCATTGTTGGAAGCATTCTCGATATTAGAATCACCCTGTTGGTGTTTATAAAACAATACAGTTTCAAAATTAGTATAAGCAAAAGCATGCCATGCTTTATACCATGTTGGATCATGTTTTGTTGCAGCAGCATAATAAGATAATACTGCGGGTATAGAATGTTCATTAATACCTTGTAAAGCTTCTAACCATTCTCCTAATTTTAGATAACACCTTGCAAGCAATCTTTTTCTTGCGTCCTGTATTTTTTCATTTTCTTGATTTATTACCGATACTATTGTTGGTTGCAGAGAATTTTGTACGAATCTTTGCAGTTGATTATATGCTTCCTCTCGTTTGTTTGCTACCCACATGTGTTTACAGTAAGCAAATGTTACTTGCGGATGAGTCGTTGGTAAAGGTTGATCTGGTGTTAATGAGGGATCTACACCCAATAACATAACTAATGTTTTATGACACAACATTAAGCTACCACTTTTTCTACAAAGGCTAGCATATTTAAGCCACGTATACATATCTTCTTGCGGAGAAACAACTAAAGTATGAACTTGTATTATTTTTTGCCAATCCTCGACAATCTTCTGTCCTCCTTGAAGTCTTTCCCACCACATAGATTTAATAGTAGATCTTCTTTCTGGAACAAGCTTATATTGTATTACTTCTTCTAGTTCTGCTAATTTTTGAACTTCCACCATAGCATTATAAGCTCTTTGATAACTCTCACCAGCCATAGCAGTTAATTCTGTATCTAATAAATCTCTAGCACTATCAATAAGCTGATGAGCAACATCATATTGTTCATCGTGTATAGCTAATACTGCTCTGTAAAAAGCCCCATCTTGAGAATCCTTTGGTATCAGTGAGATATATTTTTCCATACTTTCCCATTGACCCAAACCCCATGCAGCCGCTGCTGCCATTCTAGCCATTCTTTGTTTTATTTCATCATTCTGATTTAACCATTGTTTCGTAGCCTCGTCGTGCAATTGTCCCCATTCTCCAAGTGCTTCCAAACAACGCATTTCACCCAAAGTAGATTCCACATCTGTAGGATCACTTTCTAAACGTTCCTTATATAAATGAAGCGCCTTATCCCAATTGTGAAGTTTTTCATACCAACGTACTTGAACTTTAAGATCTTGCTGACTGTATTGATTCATAACATATTCAAGTAAACCTTCTGCAGCTTCCTTTTGTTGGAGTTTATTATTAATTGAAATTAACGATTCAAATACATTACTATTTCTACTTTTATGAAATTCATCTTCTTTGTAATGCAATGCTTTAGCATAAGCTCGACAATGCATTGCTCTTTCTCCTAAAATTTTATTATCTAATGGTAATGGTCCTTTGTCGCAATGTTCCATAAATTCGGCCAAATTTAATATCGTCTGAGTTATTTCAGGAAGATCTGGTACCATTAATGCTTGCTGAAGTGTTTGAATTAATTCTGTTCTATATGTGTCATTGAGTTCGGTCCAACAGGAAACAAATGCTGCGTTAAATAAATCACGTGGTAACTGTGAATAAGTTTGTGCAAGAGCCCAACATGATCTTAATGCTGGAGATGGAGATTCTTTAAGTAAACCAATAGAAAGACTTCTTAACCATTCAAGCCAGTCATCTTTAGATACTCTACGGGTTGCTGTCCAAGCTTTTTGTAAATTTGAAGCTGATACATGTAATCGTTTAATGGTTGCTGTATCTGACGGTGCTAAAGGTAAATCACGATTCTTATTTCTTGAATGTCGATGTCTCATTAACAAGAAATCTTCGCTGTCCGCAACAGTCGATTCTGTGAGAATTTTATCAACTAAAACATCGTAGTGAGGATTACTAATTTTATGTTTTGTCATGACCTTTTGTACCAATGTAATAAAAATTTGATATTTTTTTCCCAATTGTATCAATAAAGCACAAAGCGTATCCATCGCTATACTTCTCAATTCTGGACATTGATCCAATGTTCTTACCAACGGATGAACGATTCTTGATGCAAAATCGGTAAAATCCAATGTATCTGCTAAATGATCTACTGTTTCTAGTGCTATTCTATTCACTGCTATAGGACAATCAGTTGCATGAAATAACTTCACGATTGGTGGAAGAACTAAGTGAAGATAATTGTCAAGATTATTTCCAAATTTTTGTAGTGCAATTAACAACTTTACTGTTACCACACGGTCTTTACTAGTATCATGTGTCAATACCCTTAATATGTGTGGCATTAACTGTGGTAAATAAATTTTGAACTCTGCTCCTAAAGCTATTGCAATGTGTTCAACTAAAAGAATAAGTGTACTTTGTAGAGGACTATTGACGATCCAAAATTCCTTAATCAAATTAAATATATCATCGAGATAATTACGAATATGTTGTTTCACAATAGCAATAAGAATAGCCAGTTGTTGGAATAAATATTCTCGAAAATTGGCATCTGTCGAACGTACAACATTCAAGAAACTTGGCATTACTTGAGAGATGTATGGAACGCATTTAATACCAAGACTTTTAAATATAAAAGTCACTGCTTGTACTACCATCGTATGATGTTGAGCTAATGTGGGATCACGAATGATACGCATAAGAGTAGCGATGGCTATTGCAGGATAATATTCTTCTAAGGTGGGTGATGACATATTTACCAACATTTCACTAGTTGTCAAATCTTGTGTACTTTCTACTTCACTTTTAGTATCAGCCATTGATGTAAGTATATCCAATTGCGAATCTATTTGTCCAAGATTCATTTTGTGTTTATATGGATCTAAGGCTCCTAATAATCCTAGAACTCTTATTGTTTCTCTTCTGATAGCTGGCTGTTGTTCTGTTTTCAAAAAATTAATAAGTACATCTAATAGAGATGGATATTGCATGTATGGTTTTACTGCATGTCCTGTACTTCCAACTAATTGTCCAAGAACCCATAAAGCAACGCCTCTTTTTTCTGGTGAACTAGCATCTACTAACATTTCAAGTAATATTGATAATAATTCAGGCATCCACTGTTGCATTTCAGCACCATTTACTTCCGCTAAATCTCCTATAGCACGAAGGATTGCTAATATTACTCCTGGATTTGACTCCGCTTCCTTTAATTTTGGAACAAGAACTTTTAAAATTGGTTCCATATATGGTCGAATAAGTTGTGGTGCACTGACTACTAATTCATCCAACATACGAGCAGCTTGTTCTTTATTACGACCCATTCCAGAATGCTCTAGTTCGGTGAGGAATTGTATAAGCGTTTTACGAAGGGATGGCATCACGTAAGCAGGATTCATATTACTTAGTCTTCCTATAGTTCTGATTGCTTGCTCTCTTATATCAAACATTTCGTCATTCATAGCAATAAATAATGCAGATAAATTTTCTGCCTGTGCTAAATGAATATCAAATGAATCATTTAGTGAAATTAAAACTGATTTTCTTACGTCGGAATCTGTATCTATAATTCCCACAACTAACAATTGTCCAAGAACTGTAGATACGGTACTAGTTACTGTAGGTCCTGGTTGATTTAGTGCCAACCTTAATAATCGAGAACACGTTTTTACAGCTTCTAATCGAACTTCTGGTTGTTCTGACGTTAAAAAGTGATCAGCACATCTTCTTACAAATTGTAATAAAGGATTACCATCAAAATTGAATGTGCCAAGTGTTTTCAATGCAAGAACTGTTGAAGGAACATCTACTTCTGTTGATGGCATAGATACAGGACTAGCTACAGTCCAGGGTGCTCCAGGATGTCTTAATGGTTTCTGCATTAGAACTTGTGACAACATCCTTAAGAGACCTTGTGATATGTCCAGTTTTAAAGATGGTACACAATGTGCCAATTCTCTAAGAGAGGTTGTCAGAATAGGACTTAATCCAGTTGCTAACATTGGTTCTAAAAGATCCTTTACATCAGATGCAATAGTTAGTTTTACAGCATGTCCTAAAAGTGTTATACATATAAATACTGCAGGTTCCAAGGATATTCCACGTTTTTTGTTAGGTGTCTCTTTTGATGGTAGTAAACTTTTAATAACCTCCATAATTTTCGGAAGATATGGATTTATTGCATCTTCAACTGCAACAGCTATGAAACCAATAGTCATAAATGCAGCATATCTATCCTTTTCGCGAGCTCTTAAGGTCATTAAAAGATAGTTCATAGATTCTTTTAAATGGTCCTGTGTAAATTTTTGCTTATTAAATGCAGCCAATCTTGGTAACAACATCATTAGTGCATGTTGAATATGTGGATTTCTCGAAATTCTTTGATTCATCACATCAGTATAAATATCATCTAATCTTTCTTGCATTAAACATCGACAAACAGCTGATTCATGTATCGAATATAATGAATGTTGAGGTCCAGAAGAATTTTGAGATGTTCCTGCCCATTTAGATACTATTGTTGTTTTTAATCTAGGCATTAATGATTGTATATCATTTTCATTTTGTTGTGCAGAACAATTTAATCTTTCCATCAAAGCTTCATAATTTATTTCCCATCGTACATTACTACATCTTAGTAATTCATTTAATACTAATAATGAACCATGCACTCTGTCATCTCTATTGACTCCTCTTTCTTTTAAATATGACTCTTCAAATCCTGCCATAACTTCATCATAACATTGTTTATACCATTGTGATTTATGCATTTGTTTCGCCGTTTCCCTTTGAGCAGTAACAACTAATGCTGCTCTTAAAGCTTCAACAGCACCTTCTCTTATCACAGGTTTTGGATCACGCGTTGCATTGAATATAAGATCAAAAAAAGGAGTAACTTGTTGAAAAAAATATGTTGGCATTGATACAGCAAGTTCTCTGAGTACAAGTACAGCTGCATGACGCTTTCCTTCATTCCTGTCACCTCCAAGCCATTCGAAGGCACGTCTAACTTCAAATTCAACATACTCCGCTGTATATGTTCCAGAAACTAATGCTAATTTACCAACAGTTTTCGCAGCCAATTCCATAACACCAACATCATTAGACGGTAAGAGATTTCTCAAATAATTTGCAAATCTTATTATGCGTGTATTTATATTACCAACGTCAGCTCCAATAAGACAAATAATAGCTAATATCCCACCTTTCTTTTCGTTCATATCAGAACTAGATACCATTTCAAATATATGGTGATTGAATTCATCCATAAATGCGGTAATCTCTTCTTGAGATACCTCACGTAATTCTGTCTTAACATAAAAACATAGCTCCTTAGCTGCTTTAGTACGTGATTCTTCATGTCTTGACTTAAGTCGTTGGACATATTGTTGTACAAGTGTATTTGTCATCTTTGTAATTATTAATACATTATCGCGTTTTTATTTTCTCAAATATATACGTGCGAGTCAACTTTCTAACATACTAAGTTCTGCATAGAAAAGAATCATCCTTTGAGGTTATGTTCAAACATTGTGTTTCCATGCGAGCGCTTGCGGAGGCGCTTCAAATCAATAAATCATGGTGCCTGAGTTTAAGTTACGGCTACTTGAAAACGTAACCTTGACTTTACTATAATAATGTTATTTAAGAAAAATTAGAATAATTTATTTAATTTGTATGTATATATTTGTATATAATGTCTATAATTTTCCAAAGATAATACTAAAGTAAAGAAATTTTGAAAGTTACTTTTGAAATAAATTCAAAAAATCTAATTTTACTTTTTAAATTATTTGTACTTGTTTTAAGAGATGTAAAACTTGTTCAATGATGTAAAATATCAATTAAATATCAATAAAATGTTAATTAATTGATTTGTTTGGATGTGGTTTATATACATTTACATATTTACGAAATAGAAACATTAGAAAAATAAAACAAATATTACTGACTAATTAAATGAGAAATTTTTATTTTTATAATTATGTATATTACCATATTAATTGATTTTTAAAATATATTTAAATATAATCATAGTTTTTTTTTTACTTAAATATGTACAATGTGCATATATATTATGCAAACAAATTTCTTATTATTTTGTATTTCCATATAATGTATTATCCAGTTATTTTATATAGGGATCTTTAAGTCTTTTGCAACTATTATTAAAATTTGATCTACACTCAAACACCAATTTGCAATATTTTTGGATACTCTACACCAATTCTCACCATGGTGTGGTTCTGCAGCAATACATCTTTTTTTAACTTCTTCTTGTTGTTCCTCGGTACCATTTAAAAGCTCAAATTTATAAAAATAAGCCCACGCATCTCCTAAATCTGGATCTATTTTAACAGTTCTGTTAAACCAGTCTCTACATTTGGAAATTTTGTGTTCACACCAAAATAATCTGCAATAAATAATACATGGTTAAAATAATTAGAAGTATTAATTATAAGAATTCACAAATTACACATTTACGAGATAAAATCTTACTTTGATACCGCAAGAAGAACGTGCGGATCATGTTCACATTTTTTAAGAGCATCAACGCTTTTTGTTTTTCGTTGTGGTCGTGGTTCCATAAAGATGGCTTCTGCCCAAAGTAGTCCTGATGTAGGACATTCTTGTAACGCTTTTGCCATTAAAGTATGTGCCATATCACGTACACCGCCAGGTTTTAATTCATTTCTGATAGCTTCAAGCCATAATTCTGCATTTTTGGGATTACGTAGTCGTGCCTTTTCTAAGACTGATCTAGCTTTCGTTACTTGATTTTTTCTGTGTTCTAAATGTGCCAATAAACGCCACAAAGGAATTGAATTCGGACATTTTTTAATCTGAAAATATTGAAAAATAAATATTAATTTCTGATAGAAGATAAAAATTCAATTTAATAGAATATAAACATATAATTACTTACAGCTTGATTATAAGTTTCTAATGCTTTGTCTAAATTTCCTTGTTGTTCTTCAATTTGTCCTTTCATTAACCATAACTTAGGAAAATCTTCAAACGCTTCAAGGGCTTCTTTCAAAAGATGTAAAGCCGCATCAAGATTGTTGAGAGCCCATTCTAACTTTGCACTTTTCATCATTACTCTTGGTGTGGGAGCAGATGCTCTAGCTTTTGCAAGTAAACGCCTAGCTCTTTCATATTCAGCATTTTCTGACTCCAATTTTACTGCTGCCAACCAAATTTCTTCTGAATTTGGATTAGCTTGAAAAGCGAGGGATAAGATACCTCTTGCAGCAGGTACATCACCCTATAATACGCAAAAAAAAAATCAAAAGAAAGATTAAATTAGAAATATTTGTGATTAGATTACATTAAGTATATATAATAAATAAATACTTACAGCCAACCATTTAGATTTAGCTCCCATAAGCCAGAGTACTTCACTTTTAGGGCAATGTGCAACTGCTCTTTGTAGTAAAGATTCTAAGGATTCACGAGTACCATATGTTTTCTCGAAATAAGCTGCTCGTAACCAAATAGATTTTTTACTGGGGAATGTCGTTAATGCATATGCATACACTGCTCTTGCACATTCTAATGCTGCTTGTTGAGCACACTAGAACATTAATACAAAGATTTGTTTATTTTATGTATATACAAAATTAATGGATATAATATAACCAAAAAGATATATATATATAACTTACAGTTTCTGCATCTTCCATCCAAGTGTGTTTTCTGTCTTCTTCCTCAACACCAAAACCAATAATAGCTTTAACAATGACTTGACAACAGTGTACTGCTCCAGCTTTTTCTGCTTCCATAGCTTCTTTAAACCAATGCTCTCTATTAATTTCCACTCCATTTGCACTTAAGGAAGATATTGCTCGATCAATAATTTTTTCCACCATATGTTTATTTCCATTGGCTTCTTCTAATTTAGCAGCTGTTGTCCATATTTGTCTATCAGTAGGGATATTTTCTCTAGCCTTGTTAAGAACTTTTCTTGCATTGTCATAGGTTTCTAATCTGGCTAAAGCAAGCCATAAATCAACACTAGTTGGACAACACTCTACAGCTCGACTAAGAAGAATACGAGCATCTTCTGGCTCCTCCAATTCAACTGCTGCTTTCCACAATCTTACAGAGTTTGGAATATGTTCGAGAGCTTTTCGATAAACTCTTCTTTTTGCCTTAGCTTCGGTTTCCAAGTCAGCGGCTTTTATCCATATTCTGACTGATGTTGGAATATGTCGTACCGATTGAGCGATCACTGCTTTTGCAGTATCAGGTGGCTGTAACCTTGCAGCTTCTAGCCATAAATCTTCAGATGTTGGGTTCACTTCACAACCTTTCATTATTAAATTTCGCGCAGCTTGAACCTTTCCTGTTACTTCTTCTAACCGAGCAGATGCAATCCAAGCAGAAGGATGATTAGGATTTGTCTCTCGCAATGATTTTAATAATAATCTCGCTTTTTTGATGTCACTAAGAAATGAATAAAAGTATAAATTAATCGATGCAGCTTTTGATTATTTAAATAAATAAATATAATTTACTTACTTGATATCTCCACCATATGTTGGGATCATACTTTGCAAATCTGTAAGATATCCTTTTGGATCAACAACAGTTTGTCCTTCTACAGAGTCAGATACTTGATTTAATTTAACATTCATAAGAGTATTCCTTGCTTGTCCAATTTTCCTTAAATCTAAATCTCCAGTTGGTGTTAACATTCCAGGTGTAGCTACACCAGGCATCATAGATGCTAAACCACTAGATGGATCAATACTAGTAGAAGTTTCTCCACCTAAATTTCTTGCTAATACAGAATCTGGTAATGGTGTGAATTTTTCTGCTCTAGGATTCCTTTGTTTTCTATTTCTAGCATCTCCAACTTCGGGAACATTTTTCCATTCGTCGTCAGTAACATTAACTAATTCTCTTTTTAAGTCTGAAAACTGTTGTTGTATCTTAGGACGTTCTTGACGATATCGTTCCAATTCTTCTCTCAAACGTTTTTCTCTATATTCTTTACGTTTCTCATCCATTCGTTTATCAATTGCTTCATAAATTGCATCGGCTTCTTCATCATCTTTATCATAAGGATCCTAAAAGTATTTTTAAATATTAATAACAATAGTGCGTATAAAGTTTTTAATATTTCTAGTATTGTTAATAAATATATATCCACTAACTTTACTAAAAAGGGAAACTCCATAACCAGAAAATTCATCATAATTACAATCATTTAAATCTTCTTCATCTTCTTCTTCCTCTTCTTTTTTCTTTGTACGTTTTGTAGGTGGAGCATGTCTATCATCTCTGTATACATTAAAGATAATAATTAATTATATTAAAGGTACATTATTAATGATTTAGTCAATGGTTTTGGTTTTGTTGAAAAAATTAGTTCCCATTCAATCAGTAAAGTTAAGCAACGATGAATACAGTTAATGCATGGATAGGTGGTGATAACAATATTTGTTACAATAGAGTTACATTAATATGACACAATGACAATACAATCTTTACTTTAACATTGTTTACCACTTGTTTATACTATTTCTCTATTTACAACAATACTTACGACACATCATTGGCATCTCTTGCTGGACCGATATCAGACCGTGTTGTAAATCCAGTAGCTCTGAAATAGGTTAGATTTTATATGAATCTTTAATCAAATTTGTTTTAAAGTTAATTTTACAATATATATATATATATATATATATATATATATATATATATAATTAAAAATTGCAGTGAATTATATGATTTAATTACCCTCTTCCAACACCAGCTACATAACCAAGTGGAGCTGGTACACCAAGAAAATGTTTCTTATTTCTTGTAGACAAAGATACAGAAGGAACCGCCATTTCAATAATTCGATTCAATAATGCACTGTTAACAATAGTAATTCAATTACTAAAAGATCTCAACAACATTATTTAAAAAAAACTTTATATGAGGTTTATTATTGAATTTCTTCCATATAAACAGAAATGCTGAAACTTACGAATATAAAGAATGGATACACAATCTTAGATTATGAACATGGGATGATTTGTTAGTTATCCACACTAGGGACATACATATCCCTAATCCACACTTCACATGTGAAACATACAAAACTAAATACAAATCAAATTTTAAACAATAAATAACATATATACATATATATATATTTTTTGTTATTGCAAACAATTTCCATAATTAGTTAGATAAATAAATATATATAAAAATGTAAAATAAGCATATATGGCGGGGAAGGGATGGCATATCATTTATTGGTGATAGAAACGCCATATTTGTCGGCCATACTTTTTTTTAATGATCATTTTGAATTGGAATTGATAACGAAATAAATATTGTGTTTTATTTGTCAGTAAAAATATGAAAAGAAGAAACGTCATAATGTAATCTTCCAATATGTGTATAATTTTATCTTGAATATTTATTATACTAATGTTTCCAAAATAAATGTGTATCATAGTTTATACGTATAGTGTAAAATGTTTGAAATGATTTGTAACTTCATGTGTGAATACGACATGTATACTAGTCGGATAAAAAACATCAGATCCGGTTGTTCTACCTAATATTCTATGACTATGATGAAAGGTTTTTTTGTGAAATAAAAATTTCTTTAACCATGTATATGCATTCAAATGCATGAAATTGTAACAACAGTTAAATTACATTTTTTGTAATATATTATATTATATTATATTTATTTGAAATTGTCAAATGTCAGTATGGTGAGTATAAATAAATGTTGAAAAAATGCTTTTTGGAGTTTCGAATAGGGTAAGGTAAATTGTTTAAGGAAATATATCCGATAACCTCCCATTTTTTCTTGACGTTTCTTTAGTGCCAATTATTATCGTTACATTTGTTTCATCAAAGAATCTTCTGATCTTTGATATCTTATACTGTGTTCGATCGAGTCGCAATGGTGCGAGGGAACATAAATCTCTCACGACCATCTCGAAAAAAACGATATGTCGACCCCATGACGGCTGAATGATTTTAATGATTTCCATGTGAACAGATTTTTTAATCCAACTTTATTATTCTAAAGGGAATAAACGTTGAATCATCGCGTGTTAAATGTTCAAAAGTATTTAACAGACAACACAGGTAATATTATTATTCATTTGTTTGTTATTCTTTCAATATACTTATGTTTTGATTGACATATAATCATGTTTTATTGAATTATTTTGTTAACAAGGTAACGTTGACTCACGTATATAGTTAATGAAATGGGTAGTGCTTGGTGGCAGTGTGCTGCATGTCTGAGAGCACAGGAAGAAGATATTTGTGAATTACAATTAAATCATTGTAATCTTTACGATGTACCACCTGATGTGTTCATTTATGAGAGAACATTGGAGAAATTGTATCTTGATGCCAATAGAGTAATTATCTAATTAGATTTTATTGATATTTTTCTATTTACTAGTTTAATGTGATAAGTTTTCACTAAATATTCAAATATATTTTCTAGATAAAGGATCTTCCAAGACCACTCTTCCAGTGCCATGAATTGAGAATACTTTCCCTTAGCGATAATGAAGTTACTGTTTTACCACCCGCCATAGCGTCATTAATTAATCTTGAATATCTAGATTTAAGCAAAAACAGTTAGTATATAAATATATATATTCATTGTTCTTTTTTTTTTCTTTTTTAAATAAAAATTTAAAAAATCTTAATTCATGTTTCAGCTATAAAAGAGTTACCAGATAGCATAAAAGAATGCAAAAATCTTCGTTCTATAGATATCAGTGTTAATCCTTTTGAAAGATTTCCTGATGCTATTACGCATATTGTTGGATTACGAGAACTGTATATTAATGATGCATATATAGAATATCTTCCAGCTAATTTTGGGCGACTATCGGCTTTAAAAACGTTGGAACTTCGAGAAAATAATTTGATGACGCTTCCCAAGAGTATGAGCCGTTTAGTAAATCTGCAAAGACTCGATATCGGTAACAATGATTTCACTGAATTAGTAAGTATAATAGTTGACACATAACAATTGTTAGAAGAATTTAGTTTAATAATTACATTATCATTTTTTTAATAGCCAGAAGTTGTTGGTGATCTTATTAATCTTACCGAATTGTGGATAGATGGTAACGATATCCGACGTATATCTCCAAATATAGAACAATTGTATCGTTTAAATCATTTTGATTGCACCATGAATGCAGTACATCTTATCCCATCGGAAATTCGAGGATGGAGAGATATTTCGATAATGAATCTTTCGTCGAATGAAATTTATCAACTTCCAGATACGCTCTGTTATTTACGTACAATCGTGACACTTAAAATTGATGACAATCAATTGAACGCACTGCCAAATGACATTGGTCAGATGTCAAGCTTAGAAGAGCTTATAGTCACTAAGAATTTCCTTGAATATTTACCTTCTTCTATAGGACTTTTACGAAAATTGCATTGCTTAAATGCGGACAATAACTATTTGCGATGTTTACCACCAGAAATTGGAAGCTGTACTGCGTTATCTTTGCTTTCGTTAAGATCTAATAATCTCACCTGTATACCACCAGAAGTTGGCCATTTGTCCTCGTTAAGAGTACTTAATCTTGTGAATAATTGTATTAAATTTCTACCAGTTTCTATGTTAAATTTAACTAACTTAAAAGCACTGTGGTTGAGTGATAATCAAAGTCAACCGTTGGTTCCACTACAACAAGAATTTAATTGTGAAGAAGAAATGATGGTACTGAGTTGCTTTATGTTGCCGCAGAAGCAACGACAAGATCTTGAACGTAAGTTATAATTTATTTCTTAACATACCAAATGTGTGTAAATGATAATTAATATCAATATTATAAATATTATTGCTGCTATATATTAGTGGATAATGATCAGCAAGATGAAGACTGAAATGGTAAAGTATAATTAATGAAACAAATTGGAATAAATAACAAATGTTTAAATATAATATTTTAGTTTATAAAATTTATATATATATATACATTTCTTTGTAATACAAATTAATGTGATCTTTCACGTTTGTTACTTTTTAGAAATGGCACAAGCTGTAGGACCAATTTCAAGCTCAATAATTGGAACTGGAAAAAGAATATGTTTTGCTGCTGAGGTAGAATCTGAAGTCCCTAATCAACTTCATCGAGCACCTACTCCCTATCCCAAAGAATTGCGTAATCTTGCCAGGCATGCCCGCAATTTACATCATCAAACTACACAAGACCAAAAAGTAAGCATATTTCAAAAACTATTATGCAGAAGAGGAAAACTTGTATAATAATATATATTCATATGTAATAATACTAATTTACAATTCCAGATGAATTTAGAACAGCAGACAATGATCAAAGAAGCTATCATCACAAAAGCTACAACTACATTAGAAAATGCATCCAAATCTGGAACTTCTTTCTCCCAAGGTTTTACTAATAAGGTATTTATATTCATCATGAATTTAATAGAAAACTTTAACAAGTTTTTCTTTTTTTTTTTTTTTTTTCTAATCAAGACATGTTTTAATGTAAACGTTTTTTGATTCGCAGAGTTTATCTTTATCAGTATCGACGATTGATCATCTACCGAAAGATTACAAGATTAATAGTTCAGTAAGATCAATAGTACATCAAGATAAAGAACATTCCAATTCAGAAGAATCTTCAGACGAAGCTAACAAAACCGTACTTGCAAAAGAAAAAAGTCCTGATATTCGGGAAGCAAAATATATACGCAATCCATCATCTGATTACATTGCTAAGACACCTACAGTAGCAGATTATGTAAATTCAACTTGGATGCCAGATGAATATTCTAAAGCAAATATAGCAAAGATCGTTGATTCTGATAAATTTATAGAACCGTTTAATAGTACTTCTCTTATTATCGATGGCAAAAGTTATGATCAAGTAAGATCTAACGAATTTCCACCAGTTCCACCGCCATATCACATTGCAGCTGCATTCTCAAAAAAGGCTGCACTTTTTCAACAATTTAATAATAGTAAGTAAATATATTATTATTTATATTTTTATTGTTTTTTTTTTTATTATAATGATTAAAATTTTTTTTTAGTACTACAACCAGAGAATCATTTAACAAACTTACAAAATACATCTAACATGTCCAACATTGATGATATTCAACGTTCAAATGGAAACGTAGAATCTGTCCAAATAGAAGAACTTGTTAATGCAGCTGTGAAAAATCCTACATTCGACGGTAAAGAAACAAATAATGGTTCAGTTAATAATGGAAAAAAATTATTACTTAATACCAATGATCTTGTTTCATCGTCAGAAACAACAACAACAACAACAGTAACAACAACAAATCTTGATCAAACAATTGAAACTGATCGATTTTTTAAACCAAGTAAAATTCCAGTACCAAGAGCAAAACACTCTGATACTGTGAATTTGAATAGCAACAATGATACGTTGAATAAAAATGTAAATTCGATTATGGAAGAGTGTGACTTGCCGAGGACATTAAACGTATTAAGTATACCGACGTCTCCTATTACGGGGAAAAAATATAGAAGTCCGCTTAGTTCACAAGAAAAAACTTTAAATCAATTGAAGAAGATAACAAATGGCAATATTTCGAATAATAATATATCATGTGATAATACTAATCCATCGAACATACAAAATATAAACTTCACCGATAACAAGATTGAAAATATGGTTAAAAACGAAACTAATACAAGCGATACTTCTCATAATTCGGATTCTTTCGTTACAAATTGCGTTGACGTTGAAAACGATGCTAGCTCCGACAAAAGTACGTCACTTTCAGCTAGTAACAGATCATTAAACAACACTAATAATTTAGATAAAGTACATAATTTATCCAATGAGCAATTGACGTTAGAAAGAAGACCACGATTTAAATGGATGTTCGGACCTCATAAAAATGCAAATGTGGTATGTTAATTTATAATCTGTAATTATTTTGGCAGTACTATTATTTATTGTAAAGATACAATATAATGTACTTATTTTATTATAGTTGCCTGTACAAGTAAGAAAAAATCCTGGTCTTGGATTTAGTATAGCCGGTGGTGTAGCAGGAGCTGAAACTGTAAGTTGTATTAAACATTAATACTTTCTATGGTAATAATGAACAAAAGTTTAACGTTTAATTATTCGTAACTATACGTATATACAATGTGTAGTATATATTATGGAACATACATATATCTCCTATCTCAGGGTATTATTGTGACAAAAGTTAATCCCGATGGTCCAGCTCAAGGTACTCTTAGACCTGGTGATAAAATTTTAGAGGTTGACGGAATAGATTTCACCAAATCTGATCATAATAATGCAGTTGCCGTTCTTCGAGCTACAGGTGCCGTGGTATCTATGATGATCAGTCGTCATCAATGATGTAAAATTCAAAATCTCTCTGAGAGAGTATATGCTATAAAAAAAAAAAAAAAAAAAAGAGAAACAACTAAAATTGCAATCCACATAGAAGTTTCTCACCTGGATGTTCTAAAACCAAAATTTCGTAATGAATGTAATTGTATCCCAGTGTTGTATGTTTGCTAAGAATGCCATGCTCAAATTGGTACTTAAAAATGCTTATAGTATGCAATAACTTTAAGCTTTTTGAGAATGATACTTGGGCAAACTAAAATGTGATCTATAATAATAACGTTTGAATATGTTATTTTTGAAAATTTTAACGTTTTTTATGGGACGAGACATAGTTATTTGGTCCTTACAGTGTTTTTACTAATAGAAGACTAGATAAGGTTCTTTCTTGAATCTTGACTATCTTAAAAAAGAAAAGAAAGGAAGAACTACATATTTCTATGGAGTTCTGTGGTATTGTTTAATCGATTGAATTATGTCAACTCGTTCTCTTTTGTGAGAACTAATAATGTGCCAGAATAAAAGAAAATATTATTTATTAATTATGCACATACGCAAATATATAGATAAATACACGTACACACATATTCACACACACACGTGTTATGCGTATAGATAATATAAAAAAAGATTTATTAATAATTAATAGACGAACAGGGTTTCTACAGATATACTACGTATCGTATACAGGTATCTATGCAAAATGTATCCTTTTTTATATTCTTGATAAATTCGTGAATAAGTGCGAAGATCTTGTTATCTTATATTTTCTATAACTTTTATAAATTTATATATCGTAATGTATAATAACTTTTTGGAAACAAGATAAACAATATATACAATGTGTGATATATTTTCGAATACGCAAATTATTCCATTGAATTGATATTTTTCATTTATATTTGTAAGCAATTTATTAGTCTCATAATTATCGAGGAAATATAGTAAATAATATTTTATGTGAATGCGACAAATAAATTAAACAAAAAAAATAACTATAAAATAATATTTTTCTGTAGGAACCTTGTTAACGCTTAAAGAAGACAAAATTATAAAGATAAAGATATTCTTCTATGTGCCGTATTAATTAAATAATGTTTGCAATAGATTCAGTTCATTATTATTGATCACATCAAAGTTTATACATATTTTTCTATTATCTCTGACTGATCGGATTCTTTGCACAATAGTATATATATATATATATATTTATATGTAGATACATATACATATACATATATATATATATATATATATATATAAATTATATTTATCAGATTTAGTTTACAATATGCACACATATTGTCATTTCTCTTGCCTATTATTAACAAAAGGCTCCTAGTTTACAAAGTACGTTCTTTTTTTTCTTTGTGATTCGACAATTTTCTAGTATTTACTCTTTAACTTGGTACAAATGATAATTTAAAATACTAACAATAAGAACTTATTATATCATGGTTGTGATTTATCTCATGATTTTGAGAAACAAATATATATATATATATATATATCTTTTAGAAACTATGCTTTACATAATGCAGTCGATATTAGATATTGATATATATAATATTTTTATTATTATTTTTTTAGTATTTTATTCTCATTCTTTTTTTTATAATTTCTTTTTTACAAGTTCCATCGACAAGTAGAAAATTTACCACAAAAGTATATAGTAGCGTATGTGAACAAAAAAAGATGTTAAGAATCGTAGAAAAAAAAAACTATTAGGTCGAGTCATAAGTAACTTCTGTGATGCGGCTATGTAAAATCTATTTTTCGTATTTACCTATTATAAGTCACCGAAACAAACGGATTTTCAATATCACTATATAGATGAGGATTCAATTAGTCTTCTGTTAACTTTTTTATACAGTCAATGCTACATTCAACCGTTTTTCTTAATCACTGAAATGAATAGTAAAAAGTGCATATTCGACGTGTAATGCTTTAGGAATTGAAACAAGGCAATAGCACTAAGGTGGCAACTGAAAAAATATGCAGCGTATATAGTGCAGGTCTGATAACTGATAGGGCAGTCAGAAACTGGTTTGTAAAATTCCRTTCTGAAGATACGATCTTAAAAGATGAACCGAGTGTAGGACGTATTTCCGACTTTGACGAACCTTTTAAAGGTAATATTGGAGCAAAATCCAATAGATACGTTGAACAATTGCAAAGAGTGCAAAAAAAAAAACTTCATGAAAGGTGTCTTGCACTTATCAATCGCAGAAACGCCATTCTTTGTCTCATAAAAAACGGAAGTTATTTATGACTCGACCTAATAATAGAGCTCGCGTAATTAAATGAATTATTAATTAATAAAAAAAAAAAAAAGAAATGCCTGTAGAAAAAGCTAGAAATTCTTCTTTGTTATTCGAATTTAATTTTGAAAAATTAAAAAGAAGAAAAAAAGCAATAATACTCAACACGCACATACATATATATATATCGTTTAAAGTATAATTCATATTTTAATTTTAAACTTTTAATTGGTGTTATATATATTTCATATATAACTATTCAAATTTGGTTTGTATTTAAAAAATTGCTATATTTAATATCAATCTTATTAAAATCACGTCACACGCATACATACATATACACATATACGCACATAGGGACAATGTTAGATTAGAGCAACTGCATTTATAAAATGAAATAGTAGTATATAACTAAATTTGCACGATACGTTGTTGCATTTAATTAAATAATAATCACGTTTACATAGTAGTATATATATATATAAATTAAAATTTACAAAACTAAATAGGTTTATAACAGTAATTGTTTAATAAGATATTTCTTATGTATCTTATGACAATTATGATCTGTATTTCTTGAATCTACAAGGAATTGTTAGTTACACGAGAAAGAAAGAAATAGATTATACATACAAAAAAAAAAAATTAGATACAAAGATGCATATATAAAAAAAAAAAGAATGCACTTGACAAAGTTGCACTTATAAATGTACAGATTTTACAAGGATGAACTTGCACTTATATGTAAACGATATCATTTCAAAGTTACAGTTCCTTCTTTCCTAATGTAAAACAAACAAAAAAGATAAACAAAAATAAGAAATCACAGTAATTAACAGATGGAAATAGAGAAAGAAAATCTTTTTTGAAATTCTTATTTCTAAATGTATAGGTAACTATGAATACGATATATATAAATTGTAAGATAATACGATGCTCCAGTGCAAATCTTTAAACGATATACAAGTTGATGTTTAAAAAACAAAAGAAAGAAAAAGAAAATAAGAGAAAAGAAAAAGTGGCAGATCAGAGGAATTAATCTGCGTATACTAATAATACTTCCAACACAAATATACATATATAATATAAATATCATTATTTTTTTGGCGATTATTCTTAAAGGAAAAAAAAAAAGATAAAAAGTGATGAAAATAAGATGACGTAATACATAATATTTGATTTAATTTCAATATAAGGATTAACCCTTAAAGTGCACATGGGACGTTTGACACCCCAAAAAATTTTTTGATCTCTCGAAAATGGTACTGAATTCGAAAAAATGGGTTATTTGTCTAGTACCATCTAGTGTTAATTTAGATGGGTATATAAAACCTATTCTATTTTAAAAAAGATGTATCAAACTACTTTTCAAAAAATTGCGAGGTCTAAATATTAAATAGCAGCTTCAGAAGACGCGTTCAAACACGTTGGGGTGTCAAACACCCACAGTGCACTTTAACTAACTTTTACCAAGTGTGCACTTTAAGGGTTAAACAGAAGATTTTTTTTTTTTTTTTTTTTTTTAACAAGATATAAAAATCTTACAGAGAAAAGAAGAATGAAATATTTGTATCGTTTATTATAATCTTTGCGTATAGTTAATATTATTATTATTTCTTTACATTTTTTTTTTTTTAATCAACGAGAAAAAGAGCAGCTTAGTATTCATTTTGTATGTAATATGTATACGTTATGCATTATATATTTATATATAGAGAAAGAGTGAGATGGAAAGAGAAAGAAAGAAGTAGAAAGAGTGAGAGAAATTCTAAACCTAGTCATAGCAGACAATGACGTTTACATATTTTAATGTATTTTTGCATTTATTATATTACTCGTAAATAGTATTTGTGACATACGATATCGTTACATCGTAAAACATTTTCATTTCAGTTATTATTTTTAAATCTATTAACGTTTATATTATTATTATTATTATTATTATTATTTGTATTACTGTACAAATGAAATTTGTATCTTTTTATATATATATATATATTTTTTTTTTGTATTATATATATGACAGACACTATATAAATGTCATTTAATTTAATTAATAATTTTAAAAAAAGTATTATTATTAACACGAAGAACAGATATTGTTTTTCGTCTGTGTACGTTTATTTTTCTAGGACCACCAATACAATTAAGTTAATAAAAAGCAATGAGGGTTGATGGGGAGAAAATAAGAGGGGTGAGAGACGTTTTCTCGTTCTACGTCTTCTTACAGAGAGTATAGAGTGAGCTAATAACAATCACTATTAACATATATACTAAGTATTATTAAACGGATTTGGACCATTAATATATTATATTATATATATATATACACACTTTTTCTACTATTCTAACTATTAAATAGACTGAACTATCTTTTGGACGATAACACTTTAAGCTGGGTGTTTGACAAAATGAAAATGACTGAGTGTTAGTGTATGATTGACAAAGAAAACAAATGCAAAAAACAAAAGAAAAAATTAACAATAAAGATAATAAAAAAAAGAATAAAAATAGCAAGGAATAACGTTATGCGCAAATGTATATAAATAATTATGTAAAGCGAATGAAGAAAAAAAAATCAATCAAGTGGTCGTACTCGTCCTCTTTATACTTTAAATATTATTATTATTATTATTATTATTATTATTATTATTATTATTATTATTTTAATTTAATTATTTTACAATAATATTATACACGTGTGTAATTTCATTTTTATTATTAAATCTTCATCAGCGTGTTATTCTATAATCTAACATTTGAATAATAACGTATCATAGTATTCTGCATTGTTATTGATACGTCG